CGTGTTTTTTTAAAGGCAATTCTATAAAATTGTTTTGCAAATATACAGTTTTTTTTTCTTTAAATGCAAATATATATATATATATATATATATATACATATACATATATATATATATACATATATATATATATATATGTATATGTATATATATATATATATATATATATTTTTTTTTTTTTTTTTTTTTTGCACTGCTCAATTTTTATTGCTTATTTTTTTGTTTGCAAATTTCATTAATTAAAAACTTATTTTTTCCTTTGCAGTTTTTTATTTTTGTTAGAATTTTTTTTTTCTCAAAAAAATAGTTTGCTTTGCAGTTTTTGGAGATTTGCAGTAAATAAATAAATAAATAAATATATATATATATATATATATATATATATATATATATATATATATATATTTTTTTTTTTTTTTTTTGGGTCAATAATGAATTTTTTGTTTACCAAACTGTATTTTATTCTGCAAGTATAAATAGCCATAGATTGACTTCATACATGACAGAGTATATAATGCATTGTGTTAATAAATAAACATTAAATTTAAAAATAGAATTTAGAATAGTATAAATAACAATAGAATAAATAAATATTAATAATAATATAAATAATAATAATAATAATATAAATAATAATAAATAATTTTAGACTCAAGTGTTTCATTTATTATATTTAATTTAAACATTAAAATAAAATACATTATAACAACAACAATATTATAAAAAGCAGACAAAAATATATTATTATTTAAAAATATAAAACAATATTTAAAAAATTAGATATTCTATATTATAATGAAAAAGTATATAATAAATAAACAAAATAAATAAATATGTTGTTATAAAATCTGTAATAAAAATATAAATAATAAAATATAATAATAATAATAATAATAATAATAATAATAATAATAATAATAATAATAATAATAATAATAATAATATTTTACGCAGCTGATTGCCTTCCAGCTGCAACCCAGTACTGGGAAACATCTAAACACACCCATTCACACACACACTCTCATACACTACAGCCAAATTACTTTATTCAGTTCATCTATAGCTCATGTCTTTGGACTGTGGGGAAAACTGGAGCACCTGGAGGAAAACCACACAGAAATGCCCACTGATACAGCCGGAACTCTAACCAGTAACCTTTTTGATGTGAGGCAACAGTGCTAACCACTGAGCCACTACTAAGCCTATATTTGTAATTATATATTTATATATAAAGTATTACACCAAAAGTCACGTGTAGATTCATTCATTTCATTGTGCAACATCTAGATTAGCAAATATTTCCATTTGCTTTCCATAATGATGCACTGGCTGATGCATCACCATCCTGGTCATGTTAAATTTATACAGTAAATATGCTTCAGTTTAAAAGCAAGAGCAGGACATCTTTTTCCATCTTTCCCTAAAATATACCCTATTTAAACAAGGTCCATAATGAATAATAGGCATCAACCTTGCAGAAGAACACTCAAGTTACAACATACTTTCCAACAATCGCAATGCAACCTCATGCCAGCTTGTTCCTCTAAGAACCCCACAGGTACGGAAACTTTAGTAAAAACTAAAAAACCCTTATTCCAACCACACTGACACACACACGCTGATTTGAATGGGCATGGTAAAGATGGAGGACCACACGCCAGTCTGACCACCATGGCAAAAGCATCTATTACTCGCTTCCAATGCCCGCCACTGATGGCGACTCTCAGGGTGTGTCTACCAGTCTAATAGGCACTTTGAATATGACTTTAGCACAACATCAAATCATAGCACAAGTAAAACAAGCTTATGCACACACACATACCAAAACAGCAGAGCGCTCAAGGTTGGAAAAGTTTAACTTGTAGTCATGTTTCAAAAGATGCACGGCACACAAGAAACCTCCGTGTAACCTTGAAAACACAACATTATGGAGGCGGCTAGCGAAAATGACTAAGAAACTAAAGCCTGGTTTAAAGTATGAGTGTACAGAGTTCATTCGTGCAGTCACAAATCAGGCTGAATCAGGTTTACAGGCTCTCATATGGGCCACAGATTCAGATGGCTTCCATCAGCTGTCACTAAACCAAGAGAGGGAGAGCATGAGGGGGAAAAAAAAAAGAAAAAAGGAAAGGAGAAGGCTGGAGGAAAAAGTAAATCAAAGATTTGAATCTTTTACTTTCAAAGTGGACTCCAGCCTAAAAGAGAAAAGTGTGTGTGAATGATGGAGTATGAGTGAGTATTCCTGAGGACAAAAGACGGCAGAGCGGTTTCACTTATTTATCTTAACTTGTTCATCTTTACCATCAGATTGATCTTTGCTCTAAACCAGTTCTCCTTTCATCCTTTCATTTTACTTTAACATGCAGTGCAGTGACCGAGAGACAAGTCTGTTGGAGCAACTTACAGTATAAGAAAATACAGATGAGGTCAGAATTATCAGCCCTCCTATGAATGTTAAATTCTTTTCAAATACTCCACAAGGGCTGCTTAACTGATCAAGGACTTTTTTTTAAGTATTTACTATAATATTTTTCTGTACTTATTAGTTTTCTTTAAATTTGGCTGAAATGAAAAAAACATTTTTTAAAACCACATTTTATAATCAAAATTATTAGCCCCTTTGAGACAGCCACAGCCATATGACACTACAGCCCTTAATCACGGAAGCTAAGCAGGACTGAGCCTGGTCAGTACCTGAATTGGAGACCACATGAGAAAACTAGGTTGCTGTTGAAAGTGGAGTCAGCAGGGGGCGCTCAACATGCAGTCTGTTGGAGTTCTAATGCCTCAGTATAGTGAAGGGGACACCATACTGTCAGTGTGCGCCGACTTTTGGATGAGACATTAAACCGAGGTCCTGACTCTCTTTGGTCATTAAAAATCCCATGGAACTTCTCATAAAGAATAGGGGTGTAACCCCAGTGTTCTAGCCAATTTTACTCCATCGGCCCTTAACCATCATGTCAATCATCCCAATAATCCCAATCACCCAAATTGGACTCTATTACTGTCCCTGTCTCTCCACTCCACCTATCTGGGCTGTGGTAAGCGCACTGGCGCCATTGTCCTGTGGCTGACGTTGCATCATCCAAGTGGATGCTGCACACTGGTAGTGGTGTAGTGATGCCCCTGATAGCCATACACGATAAATGCACTATATAAAATACACACATTACAAGAAATACATACAGTATATATATATATATATATATATATATATATATATATATATATATATATATATATATATATATATATATAATGTTTTTCTTTTTTCTTTTTCTTTTTTGATTGGCTACAGAACAAACCACTCTTTTCCAATATCTTGTCAACTAAGGTAACCTCAATTGCCTTAAAACAAAATTAATTAGTTATTAGAAATTAGCTATTATGTTTAAAAATGTGTTGGAAAAAAACCTAGATAAAATAGCACTTGGGAAATATTTTTAAAAGAATTGACTTCAACTGTGTTATGTTAAAAAAAAAATTATCAAAAATGGCAAAAATATGAGTGTCAATGACACGGAAAGTCTGCAAACCAAATTCTCTTTTGCTGACCAAGCAAACAGTAATATTGTGAAACATTATAGCAATTTAAATTGTTTAAACCTAAAGTGTTTCAATTATATTTCAAAGATCATTCTATATTATACTTTAAGAGTGATTTTTAAGAATATTTTGATTGTTTTATCAACAGTGATTGTTAATCACAGCATCAAATGCTTTGAAGATTTAACAGCCTAATTATTTTCAAACAATATTCATCACTAATTATATGGCTTTTGTTTAATAACTCTGTAGTTAATTTAACTAAATTAATGAAAACTACAAAAGCATTTATTAATCTTTGGTGAGCATTTATAATTTCTTAGCTGATATGTTTTTATTAAACATATATTTATAAATATTTATTCTCAACATGTATATGCAACATACAGCAATGGCTGCCCACTGATCCTGGTGAGTGTTCACAGTGACAAGTTTACATAGACATCAGTAATCAAATTATTTGCCTTAATCCGAAAAAAAACAATAATATGATTAAGGTGTTTACATGAGTTGCTTTGTGAACGTTTCTTTCATGATCCTGTTTTACATATTACGGTACATAGATCTATTAATGTCATTGCGTCACCACACTATGCACATTTCTCTAGTTTCATGTAATTTTGGGTGTTTCCTTTTTATTTGTTGACTTTGACTGAATTTCACTTTCATTTAGGAATATTTCATGCATGCCCCCGTGACTACCGAGATATTGGATGAGAGTATGAACTGCTGGAAGAGTGTAGTTTGATATTGCATGCCATATGGGGAAAAACCTTCACATTTTATGATGCAGGTTTCTGTGGTCCTTCACTGACTCGATAGGTGGAGAGAAACACATGCGTGTCAAACAGCCACATGCGTATAGATTATGCTGCCGCAAATGCGGTAAAAATCCTACAAGACGGTTATAATTTGATTAAGGTGTTTACATGTCTGTACTGCACTTCAATAATGTAACTATTGTCGGCATACCCCACGTGTTAATTCAATTTCTGTTTAGTTCGATTATGACCATAATCAGGTTAAGGTAATCAAAAATTCATGTTTACATGATAGACTTTTAATCAGAGTATTGTCTTAATTGTATTAAATCAGATAATTGGTGTCCCTGTAAACATACTCAGTGTGTGTGTGTGTTCACTGCTGTGTGTGTGCACATTAAATGCAGAGCACAAATTCTGAATATGGGTCACCATACTGGGCCGCATGTCAACTTTCACTTTCAATAAAGCAATACACTGAGTGTTTTTGGGTTATTATACACCTGTTAAAATAATAATTGTTGCAGCTTAGGTCAATATCATAATAATACAATACAGTGTATCATGACAAAAGCATCAGCAAATAATCACAAGTGGGAAATGTGATAACGTCAGAAGCCTAGCAGCTGGACATTATTATTTCATTATAATGGCACTGCGATCATGCAGAACTAGTATTCCACTACTAACCTGTGACCTCCTGCACCAGAGGGCTTAATGTGGTTTCACGGGTAAGTCGAAGTGTTAATGCACCAATCAGCTCCTGCTCCACCTTCTCCACCTGCTTTTCCTCCTCAGAACCACCCGTACAGGCTTCTTTGGCCACAGAGTACACATAAACCAGCAGCACCAGAAGATCATCCATGCTCAGGTCAGAACCCGTTCCAGACTCACTTGACTTTATGAGGGGAAGAAGTTGTTTCAGAACCCCTGCCAGGTCTGAGTCTCCTAAGGCCTGAAGAACAGAGATGAGACATTCATCAGTACTATTAAGACTATTAAGAATGCAGCATCGCATCTATCAAACTACAGCTGTGACATTTATCTAGCAGGAATTACAAAAGTTCTGCTTTAGTTATTTCAATGACACCATCAATCATTATGCCAGAGATCTCCACCACACTCTTTTTCACTTGTACGCACGTCAAATTCTTTAGCAAATCAGGTCTGAAGAGAGCAATTACTCTTTCTGACCTTGAACTAATGCTTAATTCAGTTACAGAGCCCATTTATGGATGAAATCTGCTAAAATATCTTTTAAAGGTGAAGCGTTTGCATGTTTTTGCAGAGTTTTTATTGTTTTATAAGTGTTGTTAAATATGATGATTTAGGGTTAATGACATATTTCATATGATCAATGTAAAAAACAGTTGTGCTGGTTAGTATTTTTGTATAAATTACGATGCACATTGTTAGGATTCCTTGATGAATAAAAGGTTCAAAAGAAGAGCATTTATTTGATACATATTAATATAAAACTGTTAATATTAAATGTTTTATAATCAATCAATGTAATGTGTCCTTGCTGAATAAAATAATAAATAATTTATAAAAAATCTGAATATGTAATTAATTATTTTTATTTTTAAAGAATTGTTAAATTCAGTAAACTGTATTGTTTATCCCAGGGGTTAGAAAAATGTCTTTAGATATACAGTAGCAGGGCTCGAAATTGCGACCATTTTGGTCGCATATGCGCCCGAAATTTTATCTATGCAACCTTAAAATATATTTGGGAGCATTTCTGCGAGTACTTAAAATTGTTGTGTGCGACCAGTTTTTACTGCAAAATGTTCACCACATGCGTGGATTCGGGATATATTCACGCTGAATGCATCTCTAAGCTCTTTGTCTGCACTTGGAACGCGAAACGCAGCGCTCAGGAATGGTTTAAAACAGTTGTCATGTCATCTTGCTGCAGTAAACAAATCCAAGTCCGTAATGCTTGCCCCGCCTTCGCGCTCTTCTTATTGGCCCACCACTGCTCTAGCACTGAACGCGAATGATTGGTTAATATCAGCTGTCAATCACTCAGTCAGCGCCTTCTGGCATCGGATGACAGGGAGAGCTACTACCGCGCGCGAAAAACTAAAGCGCTGAAGATGAGAATGAAGATAACGCGGACAGATTTAGTTTTAGAAACCATGGCATCCAAAGTTATAAATAATGACACATCTTACTAGTGATCATGTGCTGAATGTTAATCCACCATCTACACTTTTCCAAAAGTAGAAGACTTCCGTTGGCTTCAAGTCCCCTATGAAAAGTCTGTGAGATGAAGTTTTCAGGTAACTGTTTGCCACATCTAACACGAAAACTTCTGTTTAATCCTTCATATAATCGCCAGATGCTGTCCGCCGTGCAAGTGGCAGCTATATGTCAAATTTAACACCACGTACACCATCGCATACGGGCTTGCACTGAGTAAACTATTATCGCTACTCATGGAAAGACCGGTATTGCTATTAACATGACGTATGCATATAATAAGGTACAGTATATGTCAAAAGCATCAGTGCAATATCAGACAGCACTTGTGAAAACAGCACAGTTATACTGTTAATAGATTCATGTCAAGCAGTGTGTGCAGGGCCGGTGAGCGCTCCGTGTATGCTTTGGTCACTCACTGATGTTATAAAAATCTATTTTCTTGTGGTAACGGGATTTCGTTGAGACATATTTTCCTCACGCTTGCATATATGTATTAATTTTTTTTTCTTGTTAGTTTGATTAGCGTTGATTTCAAATACAATAAATCTGTTTGTATAAAACTTGTAGTAACAGTGCTCATAATTGGTGGGTGCGACTAAATTTTGGCTGATGCGCCTAAATTTTTTAAGTTAGGAGCACCGGTGCTACCAAGCAAAAAGGTTAATTTCGAGCCCTGAGTAGTCTGACACACAAAAACAAAACATAAATACACCTACACAATTATTTTAAAAATCCTATTTTAAAAATCCCATTTAAAAAGCCAATGGCAATGGGAATAAATGTCTTCTTGTACTTAAGCCTATTTTTGCTAAAGCAACTTTATACCGTCTACCTATATATATATATATGGGTCAACAGGTATTTTATAATACAGATTTTGAAAAATTATTTTTAGTATTGCAATAGTTTATATACAACCAATCAATAAATCAACCAACCAAACCACCCACCCATCCATCCACCAACCAACCAACCAACCAAACAAGTCTTGTTAATAACAAGACTGCTTCCTATTGTAAGAGTCAGTGGTTCCCACCAACTGTTTGGTTACCAAAATTTTTCAGAATTTTGTTATCAGCAGAAGAATAAATCTAATGCAGAGTAAATGATTATAGAAAAAAAAAAGTAATTTAAAACTTATATACCTATATAGTTAAATACAGATATACCATTTTTCAAACAACCAGATTTGAATGATTTATCAGTTACACAGTAGTAATCGGTTATATAATAATAATAATAATAATAATAATAATAATAATAATAATAATAATAATAATAATAATGCATTTTATTTAAAGGCGCCTTTCTTAACACTCAAGGTCACCATACAGGACAGCAAGAACAGTCAGTTCATATGTGCAGTTGAGTTATAGAGAGTAGGCTGTTCTGAACAGATGTGTTTTTGAGTTTAGATTTAAATTGTAAAAGAGAGTTTAGATTACGGAGATTAGGAGAATTTTATTTGCATGCTCCCCATGGTGACAAGGCAGAGAGGGGGAACAGTGAGTTGAATGGAAGAAGAAGACCTGAGTGTTCGAGAAGGTATGGCGATATGAATAAGGCTAGTGGATATGGAGGAGCAAGATTGTGGATGGCTTTAAAAGTGAGAAGAAGTATTTTATAATTAATTCTGAAAAAGATGGGAAGCCAATGAAGCTATTGTAGATGTGTGATGTGACAGATAGAGGAGGTGTTTGTGATAATACAGGTTGCAGCATTTTGTACCAGTTGCAATTTATGAAGGGTTTTATTAGGGAGGCCAAACAGAAAGGAATTACATTAGTCTAATCAGGATGTGACTAAACTATGAACAAGAATGGCAGTTAAAAGCAGTGTGAGAGAATGATGTAAACGGTTTATGTATATTTATTATATTATTTATTATAACATATAATTTCATTTAAACTAAATACATCAGCTACATGCGGCATGGTGGCTCAGTGGTTAGCACTGTCGCATCACAGCAAGAAGGTCACTGGTATGAGTCCTGGCTGGGCCAGTTGGCGTTTCTTTGTGAAGTTTGCATGTTCTCCCTGTGTTCGTGTAGGTTTCCTTCGGTTTCCCCCACAGTCCAAAGACATCCACTGTAGGTGAGTTGAATAAACAAAAGTGTATGAGTGTGTGAATGTTTGAGTGTATGGGTGTTTCCCAGTACTAGGTTGCAGCTGTAAGGGCATTCACTACGTAAAACATGCTGGAATAGTTGGCGGTTCATTCCGCTGTGGTGAACAATGATAAATAGGGAACTAAAAAGAACGAAAAAAAAAGAAAATTTTTTTCACTCATATATTGAGAAAAATATCAGAAAATTCACAATGGCATTTTCTTGCTAATTGCGTAGGTCTCTGCACCTACACAGAAAACCTATGAGGGGAGCATAGCCTACATTTCCACAATGCATGCGAAATAATGGTGAAGTGCAGACGAGCCCAAAAAATGTCCACAAATGATATCTTTTTATTGTGCCATCTGTCCACAGGAGATGATATCACAACTCTGCTAACAGGAAAACTCCTTAGTTTACATAAGGATGGACTGTTGAGATACATATCAACATGCTTGTGTGTGTTCGTGTGAGTTTTAGTGCGACTACGTGCTTGTGTTATCATTTGTGTGTATTAGAAAACTCTAAAATCTAATAACCTTGAGGATGGATTTCATTTGCAATGAAAAACGTCCCCATTGAGCTCAGCAGAGCTGTTCTGCCCAACACAAACACACTTTCTTTCTCTAGAGAGAGCCGAACTGGCCTTGCTTCAAAATCTCATATCTGAAAACTACAAAATCCTCCCTCTGAGCCTGAGAGCACAATGACAAGCAAACAATACATTCCTAAGTACTGAAACAAGGAGTCTCGGTCCACTAGGCCTCCGCATGTCATCCTTCAATCCCAACATGAATGGGCCACCTGAAACATCATATGAGGTAACTATGGTCCATCAGAAGAGAAATAATGGAGTGTGTTGTAGGATACTTTCTTGGAAAAAATGTAATTAAATTGAGCCAGGGGCCCTTTGCACTGTGACAGAAGTAAAAATGTTGAGCGTAAGCATAACGTATATGGTTAATTTTTACTGAGCAGAACGGTTTGGTACGGCCTACTACATTACGCATTTATCTCTGTTTCCTCTGTCAGAAGTACTAAAATAGCAAACCATACTTGTGCAAGCCAGCAAGATGACAACAAAGGATGCACTATTTTTAAATATGCAAGTAAAAACTTTCATTCATTCATTCATTCATTCATTCTCTTTTCGGCTTGGTTCCACCCACAGTTATACTGTCTATGCTCAAAACAAAGCTTGTCATCTTCTTATGACGATGGGCCACATGCCAAGTTGCAAAATCAGGATCTGCTGTATGTCCTCCATTGTTTTTAAACACATGAAAAGCACAAGGGGCGTCGCTTCCTCTCTCTATTTGCGTGCACATACTGTGCATATACATTTTTTTTTAAATTTCAACACGGAAATGATGATATAGGTATACAGCCAGTACAGCTTTTTTCTTCAAGTAAGAATGACATCCATCACAACTTTCTGTCATGCCTACCTAGGAAGAATAATATTGGCAGTGGAAATGCAAGTCTGATCATGGTAACTTGTACCTAATTATATTGTACTATAATAAACTGTACTGTACTGCTCAATGGAAATTGGGCATTAGTTATGTGCAGCTTTCCAATGAATACTTGTTGAATACCAATGAACAACTGTTGCATCATGAAAAATGAGAACAGCA